GGGCGGCCTAGGCCCAGGCGGCAGAGAACGCCGCGGCCTCCCCCAGTGCTCGGAGGTGCGTCTCCTGCCTGCCTGGCTGGAGGCGGGAGATGTCATCGCTCCCCCTGGGTATGGTCCTGGAAGCGGCGTCCCCAGGACCCGGAGGGGCCTGGCGGCTTACCTGCGGGATGCGGCGAAAGCCGGGGGCTCAGGTCAGCCCAGTGATGGCTCCGTTCCTGCCGCTGCAGTCCAGAGCTGAGAGGGAGCTCTCAGCAGAGAGGCGAATCCCTCCTGCCCTCAGCAGCCTGGCTTTTGCCGTCGTTCCTAAGGGTACTGAGCTCTTCCACATAGTTCAGCGGCATGGCCTGGACGGGGCTGCCCGGGAAGCGAACCAGAGGGTGAAAGCGGTGGCTGTGGCCACCTTCTGCTGCGCTGAGGCGTAAGGAGGCTGAGCTGCTCCTCACCTTCACTGAGAATGCCAGCAAAGCCTTTTGCAGTAGAGGTTTTGTTTTCATATGGGGGAGAAGAAAAAGCAGTGTGCTGGGACTCGCTTCTTTCCTAGCCTTGGTTAGTGATAGCTTTCATTCACTCTCTGGGAGATAAGTGATGTTCCATAATAACAAACGTCTTCCAGTGCTGCGTGGGCTCCACCTCTGTGTTGATGGAGCATGTGTATGCAACAGGGAGTCCGTAGCTCTCATCCCTCCAGAATGCTGTCTTGACTTGGTTTTGGCCCTGGTGCAGGTGCTTCTGTTGTCAGTGTAGTCCAGCTGATAACGTCCTGACTTTGCGTGGTGTGTCCTTGTGTGTCGATGTATCCGGTCTCTTATGCCTGGGAACAGAAACACGTTCCAGCAAGTGAACTTGTGCAACCTGAGCTGGGAGATGTGTTTGGTTTCCCTTTGTGCAAGCATTTCAAGGGAAGGAAAACCTTGCTGTAATAGACAATAGGGCTGGATTTCCTATGTGCGCACAGGAGGTGGGTCTCTGGGCTTTGGAGCAATGGGAGTTCAAGCCCCTTTGCAATCCAGCTGTGCCTCTGAGACTGTCAGGGGGCTGATGGGCAGGCTTTCAGCTGTTTGCTCTGGGTCTCCAACAAAGTGCCACTCTCCAGTTGAATGACTTTCTGCCCTTGCTGTCTCTTAATAACTCACAGTTGCTTAGATAATCAGGATTTGTCTTGTTTGAAAGGTCTTAGGGGAACGAAAAGACTTAATTTTAATTCTGCAAAGGCCAGAAATAGGAATTTGGGCTGTTCTTCAGTTACCTGTTTTCTAGGTGTTTTTAGCAATGAGTTTCACTAACACAATAAATTTACCTTCTCTTCTCACCTCTCCTTTGAAATACTCTGCATCCAGTAGCGTTCCTCCTCTCCACCCTGATGCAGGGAGATGATCATCCTCCGTTTCTCATTCTTTTGTGGTAGTGTTAATTGAAGGCTGAAGGCAAAATGTCTCTAAGCCGTTGCAGGCTCTGCCTGAGGAACATTTTAGTATCGGACAGTAATACCTCTCTAGAGAGTGGGGAAGCCCAGGAAACAGTTTGGGAAGGGAGGTCTTGCAAAGCTTGGTTTTCCTTCAGTGTGATGCTCCAAATCTCTGGTTCAGTATTTTGTATAGAAAGTTTTTTTAACAAAACATGTGAGCTGTGCAGGCAAACTGTAACCAAGATGATGGTGAAGTGAACATCAGCTGTTTTGCTGTGCAAACCACAAGGAAAATCACTTGCCACGTTTTTATCTGAGTCATCAAAGTTTTGACTTGTTACTGGTTTTCCAGAGTTAATAGAAAAACAGACAGTTTTGGGTTTAGTAAAGTTACTGGCTGTCAAGGACATAGTTTGCCTTCAGTACATTTACAAACTGACATCACCAGTCAGGGTCTGGTGCCCAGTGCTGCGCTTCAGTGTCTTGTTATGTGGAAGCTTATTACAGGTTGGGCTAATGTTTTTAGCTCAGCTTTTTTATTGTGCAGCTTAAGAATATAAGGAGGCAGGCAAAATTTCACCCTCTCCCCTAATTCTGTGTGTCAAGACAATTTTTCATGGTCTTTAATGTGGTTTTAGTTTGAATGCCTTTACCCCAGTTGTTTAGTATAGTTGTTTTCTGTAGCAGCGCGTACAAAGTTTTGCCTTTTCTGTTGGGGTTTTCTAGGGAGGGTGTGGGATGAAAAGGTGTTCTGGGACACTTCAGTAGACCCTCTGGAAGGTGTGCCATGGGGCGGAGATCCAGAGAACCAAGCATCATTCACAGCATGTCCAAGGCTCCTGGAGAGCAAGGCCAGCTTTCTGAGGGTGTGCTTTGCAGGGCTGGGATTCTTGGCTTTTTAACAATAAATCCATTGTGCATGGAAAGAAGTTGAACTATTGTATCGGTTGTGCACTTGGATTTTCTGCAGAGGCTGCTGCTTCAGATGGATGCCCTGGATGCTCAGAGGTCAGTATTTAAAATAGATTGAGGGCTTCCTGAAAGTGAGGTTTTGGAGTACTGCCTGAGAAATTTGCTGATCTCACACGACTTTCGCAGCTGTGAAGGACCATTTTCAGGTGGGATTTCTGCTTGGTGATTTTCCAGCTTTATTTTCAGACCCTTTACCTCTAAGTGGGAGGTAAGGGCTCCTGTGCAACCTGTGACATCTCTGTATCCCTGCCTGAACTGTTTGGGTCCCACTAGCTCATATTTAGCTCATCTGCGCAATAGCACAATGAACAGTTTTGGAAGAGTGCCAGTGTATGAAAGTAGATGCTTGTAAAGGAAGTGGTGGCTTCAAGCCTTGTGGGGAGTTTACTGTTGATACTCACTGGGAGCAATCACCTGAATTTCCTCCCTGTGAAGGTGGAACCTTAAATTCTGCATTTAGCACTTGTCCCTTTTCAGAGGGTGGCAGAAAACAACTAATGTCTGACCACACCTTTCAGATGCGCCGCTGCACAGACAGGACCTTTGTGCAGAGCCCAGATGTCGGACATTCTGCTGAAGCACTGCAAGTCTGGGACCCTCCTCCTGAATGTGCAGCATCATAGTAGGCACTTGTAGTTTGCATGTGCTGCGTTCCCTGAATAGGCAGAAGGCTGATGAGGCACCTACAGGAGGACAAAATGTTTTGTGTAGCTTGTTTGCCTGAGCACAATATAGAGTATTCTCGATGTCTGAAAGGCGAAGGAGAACTGAGTAGTGACTTCCTGGAGCTATCTTTGATGCAAATCAGCCAAGTTGTTATTTAGTGGTGCACCAGATGATGCTTTGGAAAGCTAAGGGAGTGACTGGGAGAAAAGCTAAGGGAGTGACTGGGAGGAAAGCTCGTCTATGAACAGCTTCTACTTACGATAAGGGTGAGGTCTGCTATGTAGGCAAGATCAGAGAACATCAGCAGGTGACTCTCCTGGGAAGCAAAAGGCAAAGTGTGCACCGTGTGGTGGCTTTCACAGAAAATGGGACTGAGAGGAGCTTGTAGTTGTTTAGTCTGTTGTCATGTTTTAAACTCATGTCACGTTATCACAGATTTTATTGCATTTGCTATGAGATAGATTTTCAATAACCACTTTTAACAGTTACAGAACAGTCTGGCTTTATTCTGTTTTAAATTTTATAGGGGGGTTGTTAAAGAATTGACACCTACAAAATGAGGTAGCTCCTTTCCAGGGTTGCCAGGCCTTATTTTCAAATGGAGATCTAGCAGAGCACAGATCATCCAACTCTCCATTTTAATTTATTTTTCCTGTGCCTTTTGAAAGCTTAGGCTGCCCTGATCCAAGGGCAGCCTGTGCTGCTGAGTTGTTCTGTAATGGTCATGTAAGAGAATGCGTATGTAGGCACTGATGGATGCCATGCTGTATGAAGAGAGCCAGTAAAATAGACCTAAGGTTTGCCTGTCACCTGTGAACAAGTACAGCTCTGTGTTCCTCAGATTTTAGTGTGACACCTGTAAAGGTAGTACTGCTCTTCAAGCTGTATGCTGTTTTCAGGGCAGATGATGACTTCTGCTGGATTAATTTCTGCTTGAGGAGGGACTGATGGGCAGAGCGAGGTTTAGTTCTCATCTTAATGTGATCTGTGCTTTTTATTACATTCTCTGGAAGAAGAATTTTAATCACTTTGCTCACTTGAAAAGAGGACCTTGATATCATTGCTGGTGACATATATGATGGTACATGTTCTGAGAAACACAAGGCAGCTGCCAGCTGAAGTCCTAGATGTTTTCTGCACTGCGTAGAGCCTGAGCTGACCTAATGTGGAAATCCCTCTGCTTTTCTGCTTGTGTCAGCTCTCTCTGCCTTCCAGAGGTGGTGGTTGCAGGTGGAGCTGAACTGTTCCTTGCCAGCTAAAGCCAGGTGCTCTGGGTGTGAAAGTTACTGGGCCACAGCAGTTCTGATTCTGTAGCTTTGTATGGCTTTTAAAACACAAGCAAAAGCCATGAAAAGTGTATAATTTTTTCTTTCTCTTTCTAGCTACTCTTACCTATGATACTCTCAGGTTCGAATATGAAGACTTCCCTGAGACCAAAGAACCTGTTTGGATCCTTGGCCGGAAATACAGCGTTTTTACAGGTAGTTTGCATGTACGATTCTAATGCTCCAGAGGACTTTGTTAACATTGTGCTTTGCTTTCTTAGCAGCAAGCTGACTGCAAACCTATAAGCACACTGCAGAGTCTGTCTGTTTGCTGGCAAAGCATGCAGACTGTAACTACCGTGTTTCTGGCTGGCTGGCCGTCTCCAGGGCCAGTCTCTGGAATACTTTTGTCCAGAAAGTTACCATAAAGATATTATTGGGCCTTGTGTCCCAAGGCCAGAATGGTTGAGGCAAGGGGATAGCCCAGGGAAAAGGCAAAATTGTCTGTTTACTACTCCATAGTTTGCTTATGGCCATAGTGTCTTTGTATGGCCATAATGTCTTTGGGTCGATTGCAGCTATTTTGGGGAAAAAAGTAATGTTTCTTCTGCACAGCAGCACTGTTCCTCAGCCAGTTTTTGTCTCTGGGCATGCAGACTGTGTGAGAAGTAGAATGCTGTTGTTTTTGGGGAAGGTGGGTGGGACATGGATTTGGCTGTGTTTGGTGTTTCCTTCATGTGCATGCCTTCCAATGCTGAAAATTTTTCAGAGAAAGAAGAGATCCTGTTGGATGTGACCTCTCGGCTTTGGTTCACCTACAGAAAGAACTTCCCTGCTATTGGTATGTACTGTGGACAAGTCTAAGAATACCCTGGAAATGGTGATAATCCAGTATCTCTCCCTAATAAAACAGTCCCCACAAGTATAACATTAATGCACTTCCATTTACAAGGATCTGAAATGCACTTCATTAAATTGACTTTTTGCTTACTGATAATGAAAATTCCTTATGTCCTTGGGTATAAAGGATGGCAGTGATTTTAAAAAAGGTACAAGAATGAGTTTGGGGAACCTTCCTAAAAACATCCTTTCTTTTAGCAACATGAGAAGCTTTTTATACTTCATGTTCATTAGGTTCTACATAAATCTAATATGAAATATTATTTAATGATGGTCTTGGGCTTGAAGTGGGTTAATATAATGAAAGCTAGAGATGAGATACTGAAATTACTGCCTTTGTGTATCTGCTCTAGACTACATGTGGATTTTTTGTTGTTGTTGGGGGAGGTTAAATGCCTGAAGTGGCTGTTACACATAGGAGCTTAATGATAGGGGGAACATTTCCCAGTGAAATTGAAGGTGGAAGTCGTCTTTCCTTAAGATACTCTGCATGGTCTCTTTTGTGATTTGGTTTTGTGTACTGAGTGGAAGGTGGATCAGAAGAGATCTAAGAGCAACTAAATGGGATTTCAAGTCCCATCCATGTCCCCACTGTCAGTGAGGAAAACGGCTCAGATTTGGAAAAGATACATCTTGGTAGCTGGTCCTTCTGGTTTGTTCTATTCTTCCCCTACTGGGAAACCCTTTGCCTAACAAATTATGAGACATCTTTGATGCAGTGTAGTCCCTTTAAGTTCATGTTTGTGAGCCATAGTTAAACATGTGTTCAAAATTGAAGGGTTACCATGTGTTTAACTATAGCTCACAAACATGATTGAGGTTTCTGTCTGAGTTATTAAAGGGTGGGGGGCAAAAAAGCGATCCCATTTTCTGAGTCATTTCCTGTTTACAGTATACATATGATTTGCATGTCGTACATCAAGCCTTTTCCAGTCTTTATTCTCCCAGTCATCCCTTTTACTATTCCCCACTTATCCTCTGAAGAGCTTACAATATTTAAGTGGGCAAGCACACAGGGAAGGGGAATGTCTAATGCTAATTTTGTAAAGCATTATCAATTTTGGATGTTGTGAATGTTATAAATTGCTGGCAAAATTATACAAGATAGCAGCTGACCATCCAGAAGTTGATTAAATAGTTCTCTTCGGTGAGTTTTCTCCCTGTGTTTTTCATGCAGAGTAGATGCATAGGATTGAAAGAAGAAAACAGCATTACAAAGAAGTTACTTCTACCAGCTGTGCTAAGACACAGCTCACTGTGTGCTTGTAAGACAGCTCATTTGCTGTGGTCACATTATAAACATTTTATCTGTGAAGCTTGTAACAATAGCCATAGCTTTAGTGGAGGAGCAGCAGTTTCCTTTTGAAGTTCTGTCAGGGAAATGCTTCCAGCCTTGAGGCCTTTGTCTCAGACTTTCCAGTATGAGCTAATATCCAGCTTATTTTCCAGAATTATGTAGAATGTGGGGGGTTAGTTATTGCTGGAGTGGGATTTTTGGCTGGTGGGGTTTTTTTCTTTGGCCTATGTTGTTCCCTTTGCAGTCTCATCCAGTCATAGCTGTTTATGATGTGGGAATTCTTGGGACTGATTTATTTGCATAATTAGTTGCTTTCTCAAGATGAGGATTACAAGAAGTTGCCTGTATCAAGCACCTTGGTGTAGAAGTCTGCTCTGAGTTGGTCTGGGAATCTGCAACTATGTTCAAGGGCTGTTGTGCTCCTGAGGAATTCATCTCTCTAGTTGATAGGCTTTGATTTCCCTTTGAAGTTTTTTTTTCCCCTTTCAGTTCATATTAGAGGATTCTGGTTGGTTGGTTTTAAGGGATGCCATTAAGTTACTCGATAACTACGTTTTTCTCTTCAGCCTTGGGTATGTGAGCTAAGATAGTCCTTATCCCCTGCCCGATTTCTGGGTGAACCCGCTACCCAGGTGCAGACTTCCAGTGCTTTAATTTCTTTTCCCTCTGTACTTTCATTTCTTTGCCCTCTTTGCACTGTTTTACTGTTCACTGCATATTCATTTTCTCTCCTCGTTTACAGGAGGAACTGGTCCCACATCTGATACTGGCTGGGGCTGTATGCTGCGGTGTGGCCAGATGATCTTTGCTCAGGCCTTGGTCTGTAGGCATTTGGGAAGAGGTAAACCAGTGCACAACCCGTACTGACTTCCAGGGCCACATGCTCCCACCAGTGCAGTTCTTTTAAGGACAGCAGATAACAAGCACACAGCTGGGAGTTGCTGAAGGCTCTAAAACTTTTTCTTCAGCCTTCTGAAGTTCAGGGCTGTTGAGAGAAGTCTACTGGAAACCTTGAAGCAGGTGTTTCCCTGCTCTCTACAACTACACAGATAGACATACTTGTCCAATCCTTAAAACAAAGCAGAGCCCTGTAACCTGCTAGTTAAATCTGCTGAAGACAAGCACATAATAGATTTTTCTTGAAAGGTTTTTTATATAACTGAATTTTAAAGCAACTTAGTAGATAGATTGTTTTTTATAGTTCAGGTTTGTCACAGAGCCCTCGCTTACTGAGTGTAATCTCCTCTTCTTGACTGCTTCTGTTCTTGTTCTTGACCTGTGTCTGGCCTGTAAGAAGCTCTATAAGAGCTTTTGGCAGTTGTTGATGGCCTTTGAATGTGTGGGGGATGATTTTTGTAATGAGGTCACTTGTTTTTTCCCAGAATATATAGCTCATGCCTGTCAATGAGAAATTTTAATCCTATTCCCCATTTGTAGGGTAGAGATACAATTTTGTTTTCTGATTTTTGTTGATTTGCTTTCTTGTGAGTGATATTCCTTTATCCCAGCTGTGAGAATGCTTACTTTTCTTCTAAAATTAATTTTTTAGTGTTGGAAATGCCCCAGATGCTTAATAATAAGATAGTGACATGAAAATTGGGTCAGTTGATTGATGCACAGGGAATTGTAGCCTCTCGCTGCTAATAAATACTGTGTTTTGTTTCATATATCCCCTTGTCTGTCTTAGACTGGAGGTGGATAAAAGGGAAGAGGCAGATGGATAATTACTTCAATGTTCTTAATGCCTTCATTGACAAAAAAGACAGCTACTATTCCATTCACCAGATAGGTAAGAGTTTGGGTGCTGAAGATTGTGGAGATACTCGGTCTGGGTGTCCTATGAATTTAGAACATCATTGTTTCTTTTACTAGCTTGGTGAGTGGGTCAGGTAGTACATGACACTCTGCTGTTTGCTTTATGACATGATGTAAAACTGTCACTCTTAATTATGGATTATGATGCACTTTTCTTCTTGACTCAGTTAAGGCCATCAGGTTTGCCTAATGCATTAGGTTATATTCAGCATGACTTTCCATATCGTGGCTAGCTAAGGTGAGAGGAATGCATGTAGCTGCTGTTCTTGTGTAGGACCTTATCATATGAGAAGATTGCTGATCAGAGAAACTCTCAGAAATAGCAAATGGATTAAAGAAGGATCACACATTCATATAAACTTCCCTGGAAAATAAAGTGGCCTGTTCCAGTTTTTCCTATAGGGTATTAAGGCACATACAGCTTCAGTGGACAGAACTTCACTTTGCAGGGGTGGTCTGGTAATCAAACAGTCTGTTTCTTCTGAGGTAATATTGCCTCTTGAACTTCTGTGTTACTGCATTTTGGGGAAAAGATTTGCTTTACAGCCCTTCAGGATATGCCTTTTTCTCACATCTACACTAAGATACCCCATGTAAGGTCCTTTGCAGCCCTAACTGTTCTGTGATTCTATGAAAGGGTAGATGAAAGGCTGGATTCTACTGACTCAAAAATGTTTCTAAGTGAGATTTCTTTCCCATCAAATACAAACTGATTAGAAAGGGAGACAGTATAGGTGACGTTATTTGCTAGTTTGTTTTTCTTTTTTTCTTGTGATGCAGCCCAGATGGGAGTTGGAGAGGGAAAATCCATAGGTCAGTGGTATGGACCAAACACAGTCGCACAAGTGCTCAAGTAAGTGCTGCATTTTTCCTTTATATCTTTTGAAGCACGTAGTGGGGTCGTTTGGTTTGTAACCTCCTAGCTTACAGGTTTCTTCCCGTGGACTGAAGTGCAGCTACAGGCAACCTGCTTTATTTACCTGCTTGGGCAGGAACTTGAAAGGAGCCTTTCTGTCATTCATATGCTGGCAGGATGTGAAAGGAAACAGATTTCAAGTTGAGGACAACCCCCAGAAATGTCTGTCCACATCCCATAAGTAATGTGCTTGCTGCTAGAACCAAGTACAATACTCTGCAGCAGACCAAAAGCAAGTTTCAGAGTGGATGATCATTGCTGTTGTTTGGATCTCTGCTAGCCCCCGAGTTGCCTCTGCTGACCTGACAACAGTGTCATCGTTACCATAAAGCTTCCAGTGAGTCATCACATCACTAATGCATTAGCAGAAGAAAGCATTAATATTGCTACCTGGGTTCCATGGTGATGGGCAGAGGATCAGGAGTGGTGCTAGAGCATGGACTGCCTTTAGTAACATTTTCCCTTCTGTCACTGTTCTTCCTTCACATCGATTAGATGAGCAATCCTAAACCTATTCTCTGGAATAGGTTTAGGATTGCCTAAAAGCAGCTTTCCCAGATCAGACAATATGCCAAATTAGCTCAGGATCTGGTATAGGTGATCAGGGCATATGTATGGAAAGTCAAGGTTACTTCTCTTTTTCATTTATTATTATTTTACTTTTATGCTGTTTCACTTCCTGGTAGCCAGAAGTTACGGGATTCAAGCTGGAGATTGTATCAGGGCTCTTGTATTTGTCAGCTGTTGAGGAACAAATGCCCAGGCGTGGTCCCATTTGCAGTCCATTTGCAATCTTGTTTATCCTTCTAGCCGTAATAACTAGTGGCAGTGAAGGGTACAACTCTGATACACGTATAAAAGCATACTTTACAGCATAACTGCTAAAAAGCCAATCTCTCCTAATCCAGTTTCTCCTCTCTGATACACCACATCTTTGTCTTGTAACTAATCCTTGCTAACTTTTTGTTTCAATTTTCCTATAGAAAACTTGCAGCTTTTGATACATGGAGTTCACTGGCAGTACATATAGCCATGGACAACACTGTAGTGATGGAAGAAATCCGTAAGTATCACATGGAGGTGGAATGTGGTATATTCTCTGGCAGCAAGAAGCTGAAAATAGCTGCAATAAACAGAAATAAAAATGGAGAGCAGATACCAGTACAACACAACAAGCATGAAGTACATGTTCTGTCTTAAAGCTGTGGCCAAGCATGCTAAAACCATCCAAGAATTGCTGTTCTAGTGCAAGGAAGTCCCTTGTTTGACTTCTGCTTCATCTGACAAAGCCTCTGACTTGGCACTGTGGTCTCTGCATATGGAGAGAAGGTCTGCTAACCTTCAGATCAGCTAGGTGGGAGCTGCTTGGACGGTGGTGTCAAACTTGTTTATGGCCGCAGGTAGCAAGCAATGAGTGGCTGCTTTCTCTCTCATATAATGGAGTAGGAATGCTTTTGCTATTAGGCAGAGTAAGAAAACTGAAACAGATCACTGAAGACAAAAATGAAAAGAATTGTGGAGGAGGGGAGGGGAAGAGAAGAGGGTCTATCCCTGTAGTGCATCTCTCATTATCTTTTAAGGAGTGATCACTGGTGGTTTCCTTTCCTGCCTCCTTCCCCCCCCCGATTTTTTTTTCATTGCACCCTGACAGTAGGAAGGCTCTGGAGGCTGAGCAACTGTACAAAGTGTTCATCCCTAGTGTGCTTGCTAGGTTGCAGTGCCACAGTAATGGAAGCTGAACACCTGCTTTGCTGGTTGCTGCAATCCTTCCTGGTGCTGGCCACGCAAACCTTCTCCTCACTTGCTGTGGACTAACTTGTGGGACAGTGCACTTACACAGGACAAACCCATGCAGTGTTTTCTGCAGGGTTAGTGTTCTAAAATGGCATATAGAACAGTCCAGGGAGCACTGGAGCTGTTGCAAGGTTATAGGCAAGATAAGGGCAGGCATTGTTTAGGCTGGCTTCAGCTGCTACGGAGCCAAAATAAATTAACAGGCAATTTGTCCCTAGAGCGCAGGACAGTCACTTTGTGAAGTCACATCTCTTTATCAGGTAGTCTCAATTCAGAGGCCAAAAAATGCAGGATCTGATTAAGAAGTGCCTGTCTAGCCTTAGGTACATAGAGTCCTGTGCAGTTGACCTTAGCTTAAAAAAGGTCAGCATGAAAACAGAAACTGGATTTATCTTCATCTGAAGCCTGAAAACACTGCTTCTTGCAGCCAGCGTGCTTCAGTTCTAGGCTTGTGAATGCTGCAAGCTCTTGTCTGTGTGGCAAGTGACTGTTTGGCACTGACACCGCTTCAAGTAACTTGTCCATACAGCTTGTAATGTGCAGGGGGTATTTATTTTCCTCACTTGTGAATCGTAATGTACCCATGCAGGGCCTGAAAATTACTGTAGAAGTGGGTCTGATATGTTCTATGTCTGTAGATGTGTTATATATCTTGTGCCTAAACATCTGTTGACAGTGAAGCATTCAGAAGTTAATGCTGTTTCATACCTCTGCTCAATTGGGTCACTAATACTGTCCACCCTAAGGTTTATAGGAAATGCCTTTTGCCACATTCATCCTGAGTTAAGTCTATTACATCAGAAAGGGGCTGTTAGTGTTGGGCATTGGGAGATTCTGTGCATCACAAAGGTGGTGAGAAACCAAGACAGTAAAGCCAGTACCTGCCAGCAGCAGCTGCAGCAGGAGAGATGTCATGTCATATCTGTTGCAATACATTTGCAATAAGTGGTTTGGATCCACCTTGGAAGGTTTAGGCAGGTTCTGCTGTGCTGTGGCACCATAACACTGCAAAGCCTGCCAAAGCAGCAAGGTGAATTTAGTCTGTGCTGAGCTCTTTAGTGCTTAAACTTGGGTCAGATATGTTCATATCACAGTGCAGAATTGACAGTTGCTTTGCCTGATGTAGAGACCTGCAGTGACACCCCATTCAGCAACAGCCCTGGCGTGGCAGATGATTTCAGATCATCAGAACAGGCAGGCTACTGCAACAGAAAATCCCATGATCTTTACTGCTTTAACGGGATAAATCACTACAAATAATGACTTTCAGTTTTCTTATGACCTTCGGTAACTATGTCTGTGCTTGAGAGATGGATACATACACCTTCTCCCTCCTTGAGGGACAAAACAGAGAGCAACTGCAAACTCTTCAGTGCAAGTTCTCTCTCATACTAAGGTTTCAGATCAGAGTCCTATTCCTTCTAACCTTGGGTGTAACATTCTCCTTGTTCAGCTGGGTTTGAAGCTCTTCAGAGTGAGCAAATGCCCTCCTGAGATGGCTGGTGATGGTGGTGTTTACATTGTGTCCTACATGCCAGTGTCCTGGCGTTCAGCTTAGGCCAGGAATAAATTAAATGAGCCTCTGGCATTCTGTCTAATTGCCTTGGCTTCACGATTAAAAGTGTTGTGGGTTTCTTTGGGGTCTGGGTTTTTTCCTCACACACCCAGCAAGTAATGAAATTGGCCAGTGAGACAGGTAGGCTTGGGGATGTTTCTGTACTACAATTTACATAATCTGGTTGCATTACAGCCTGGCTGTGTGTTTGTCAAGCCTGCAGAATGAGGATGCATAGCGCTGATGTCATGTGTATGCCCTGAGGAGTTCTACTGCCCCATATCTTATAGCAAAGCTTGTGTTGAAATAGCAGAGCTAAATGATCATCCTGCTTTATGTCTCTAAAGTAGCTTCTGAGTGATCCCCAATAAAATTTTTGAAGGCTTTAGTGAACTTGAGGAAAATCACAACTATTCTAGACAGACGCTGTGCTTGTGTCTTGTGACAGTTCTAATTACAGGTGAGTATTTCCTGTGGTCAGCCATAACACTTTGCTCAAGTGGTTCAAACTGTCTTCACACCCTCCATGAGCTCCTCTGGAGTTGAACACTCCAGATTTTCTCTTCCTGCCTACACACTTCCTGAATTCAGGACTCTGGCCTGGCCTCCCGATCAGTTTATTCAACCTTGTTGGCACAGGTGGTTGCTTAGCTGCTCACCTGCTGGAAGAATTTGCTTTTTAACAGCCCACCAGATGGTGGCTGTAAGTACAACATGCTTTGGCATAATCTTGATGCTGAGCCTTACCAGAAGCCCTGCAGGGAGCACTTACATCACCTGATCCAGCACTGCACCTCTTTAAGCTTTTCCTTTTTTTAAGTGCAGTAAATAGCAATTGTTGATCAGAGCTTGAATAGAATTACTCAAGGTCTAGAAATGGAGGGTATTTCTGATGCTTTCTGCTCATGTTCCCTTTCCGTAGGGCGGTTGTGCCAGTCCAACTTCCCGTGTGCTGGAGCTGCAGCATGCCCTGCTGTGGAGTCAGACGTACTCTACAACGGGTACCCAGAGGAAGCGGGGGTTAGAGATAGGCTCTCACTGTGGAAACCATTGGTGCTGCTGATACCTCTCCGCCTTGGGCTCACAGAGATCAATGAAGCCTATATTGAAACACTGAAGGTAGGGGATCTGGAGCTCAATTCCTGGTGTTCTGATGCTTAAGGACCCTATTGTGCATTAAGTAATTTCTAGAATTTGGTTTTGGGGCAAAAAATACTCAAAAGTAATTGTCCTATTTGCAAAAGAAAAATATGTTTAGAAACAATCCTTGTCAGAGGTCAGGGTGTGGGTTTGTGCAGGCTATAGTTAGGAAAATTGGGGGAGGGGGTGGAATGGCAGGTTGGGGCTGCTTTAGTTTTGGGGGTTTGTTTGTTTTATTTTTGAGGATCTTGCTTCACAACTTAATCACAGGCCCTCCTTGTGGAGCATTAGTTCAGCATCGTTGTACTGTGCTTGGTGACAACCTAAGCATTAATGAATGTTGTGTTTCAAACTTCCTGTGGCTCTGGTGATGGAGCTTGTCCTGCAGACTGAGGCTAGAAGCTGACCGATGGTTGTAGGTTGGAGTATCAGGAGGTTGCAGAATTTAGGGTGTGCAAAGTACATGCACAAGACAGGGTGCACTTTGTCTTGCCATCCAAATGCTAGTGAGCTCTGAGTTGCACCGGTAGGAGAGCTCCAAATTCATGTGAGGTTACCTGCCCTTAACTCAGTAGTTAAGGTGCATGGATACTACAGCTGGATAAGGAACTTAAACTGTTTCCTGAGTGAACATTCCATCCCAAGGGCACTATTGCTGCCTGACTGCAGCTCCAGGGCACTATTGCCACTGACTGCAGCAGGGCCAGGACTTGCCCAGACCAAATCCTGGAGTAGTGTTGCTGCTTCCATTTGGTGCACCTGTGTGTTCCTGTCAGCAGTTACAAGTGTTTTTTGAGCTGCTTCTGTGTTCCTTGAAGGTCCTGTGTTGCAGCCTTCCTCATGGAGCTTCTCTCCAGAAATGGCTGTTCCTGCTGCTAGAGTTGCTGATTTTCAGTGTTCCCGTCTTTCTTTCCCACTGCATTTTTGGATGTTTGCCTTTGTTGCCACCTGCTGTCTCACTGTCTGTCAGCTGTGTGTTTTCTGTATTGCTTTTCCAGCACTGCTTCATGATGCCCCAGTCGCTGGGAGTGATCGGAGGGAAACCAAACAGTGCTCACTACTTCATTGGCTATGTAGGTGAGTGCCCAGAGTACTGCAAAGACTTTCCAAGCATCTCCCCCCAGCTGAAGAAGTGCTTGTGGAGTGGTACAGCTCCCCTGCTTGGTCTGTTGTGCATGCTGCAGGGTGGTTCTTTCCTGTGTGCAAGGCTGCTGTAGACTGAACCTCTTTGTGAGGACCCAAGTAATGTAGCTTTGAACAGCGGCCATAGTACAAGCCATAAAGTTCCACTGTGTAATGCTAAATCCTGTCTGTAAAGAGGTGTGCGTAGAGACTTCTTCCTATGTGCAGGGCTGACCTCCCTTTAGGTGCTTGGCTGGATTTAACTGTCCTTTAGTTGTCCACTTCCTGAAACTCTACAAACTGTTACCATTTTACTCCTTCCCTCTGATTTTCTGTCTCTGCCTGAAACCTCAAACTGGTTGTGCTTTGAATTTCTGGGGCCTACTTGAGCTTACACAGGACCCTTGAAAGCATGTGAAGGAACAGTATCCAGATAGTGCCTGTGCCTTGATCCCAGGGTGTTGCTGTGGAGTGACCACTGTGGTTCTGCTGGCAACTGGCTCTTTGGCCTGGATGAGAATCATTTAGGAAACTGGCTGAAAGCAAGTTGTCCCTAGAACATGGGTTCCTCTGTGGTCTTACGAGAGCTGGCTCTGTCATTGCTCTTCCTCCTCTTTCTATCTCCATTTGCTTCTCAGAAGAGCAGCTTCTGTCATGGTTCTTCCTATTGATGTCTCCTTGCCTGTCTGTCCAGGTGAGGAACTCATTTACCTGGATCCCCACACTACGCAGCCTGCAGTGGAGCCCAATGACAGCGGCTGTCTCCCTGATGAAAGCTTCCACTGCCAGCACCCTCCCTGCAGAATGAGCATTGCTGAGCTTGACCCCTCCATTGCAGTGGTGTGTTCCTACTCTTTGTTTCCAATCACCCAAAGGAGAGGTGTTGTGGTCCCTCTGTTCTGCAGCCATCCCCTTTCCCAGGGAACTGGCAAAGGCAGTGGTGGTGGGTTGGGTATTCTACAGGCATGCTGTGCTCTCAGCAAGTGCGGCTGTGGGTTTCAGTCACAGTGGTAAACAAGCTCCTCAAGCAGGAAGCACCTTGCTACAGGGAGGTTCCCCTTGCATGGCATATAAATGCCATTCCTCATGGGGCAGTATCTTTCTCTCAAGTTTAGTTTGGGCTTTGATTCCTGCCTTTTGATGGGCAGATCCAAATACATTTCTGAATCCATATTATGATTCAGTGTGGCTTATTTTCTGTTGAACCTGCAATGCTTTACACTGCCCTTGTTTCCACACGGGTTGTTTCTGCCCAGTTTTATTTCTGTGGCAAAGTAGCCCATTACACTTATGATTCCAGCACCTGGACAGTCTGGTCACATCAAGCATATGGGGAGAGCATTCAGCTTAATGGGGCAATGTAAGCCACAGTTCAAAAGTAAGGCAGTTGAGTGTTGTAACAATAAATTCTCTTCTTTTTTTTTTTTTTTTTTTTTTGTTTTGTTTTGTTTTGTGGTTTTTTTTTTCTTTTGTTGTTTTTTCTTGTTGGTTTTTTTTAGGGCTTTTTCTGCAACACAGAGGAGGACTTTAACAATTGGTGCCAGCAAATCAGAAAGGTTTGTGTTTGTATCGCCAAGAAAGGAACAAAGGAATATAGGTTATTGTCTTGTTTCCAAACTGCTGCACAGAGGCCATGTTCTCTATAGCATCATCTCATTTGGTTTATTAAAATACCAAGAAGAGCATAGCTCTGAAATCCTGTTGATGATGCGAGTCAAAGATCTGAGAAATGTATTTTCAGCTGCAGTGAAGTCCCAACAGATTTAAGTTACCCCTTAAAGACCCAGAGCACCATGAGTACGGAGTTGTTGGTTCTCATGGCTCTGCTCTTGCTCCACAGCTGTCCCTTGTAAGAGGAGCGCTGCCGATGTTTGAACTGGTTGAACGCCAGCCATCGCATTTCTCCAACCCTGACGTCCTGAATCTCACACCAGGTGAGGCCATGCAGGGGGGTACAGCAAAGGGTGAGGTGGTCCCTTTGATTTGCTGGAAATTGTGTGGAATTGCATGGTGGCTTCTAGTATGTTCCTCTTCCACCTGGAGCTCTTGGGTCAATTGATCTTATTCTTTGTGAAACTAGTGTTTCACAGAGCCCACAGTGTCTCAGGATGATTTTTAGGATGAGCCTGTGAATGGTGATGGAGGGGAATTAAAAACAAGTTCATAAGCTATCACGGCAACGTGAATTTATGATTTGTAAAGGGATGCTTGGCGGAATCAAAAGGGTCCATTGAAAAGGCTGAAAACTGAGTTTCTAGGTGATGAAAATGGTCAGACAGGGCTGGTCAAATTTAGTTCCAGTGTAAGTCACTCATTCTCTGTGAATGTAGTACTACCAACACAAAAGGGAACAAGCGCTGGGCAGTATTTTGGCTGTCAGGCTCTGCTTATCGTGTTAATAATGTGCACAAACATTGTAGGAGATAAAAAGCCACTGACAGCTTCTGCCAAGAGCAGTGAGTATGGATAGACAAACCTACCCTATCACCAGGCATTGGACTGTGTCCTGTTACTTGCATCCTGCACCCTGTGCTTCCTTGTTATCTTTCCTTAGCATGAACTTTAAAAGCCTGCCTTATCTCACTGTCCTTTTCTGTCAGAATGCTTGATTGCCTTCAACTGTCAGTTGATCCTTACCTGTACTAAATTCTCCCTAACTGCTGCCTGCCTTACTCTTAAAAATGTTTTTGTAATGGGCTACTTGTCCTTCTTCCCCTTCCCTACCTTGAGCCTCTCACGTCTGCTATGGCCATTCTGTTTCTCAACAGTCCTACCCCTCACTAGAAGGAATAACTGTGCTTTCATGATTATCCAGCCCCTTGTCCTTATTTTCCCCTGCCACTTGGATTCTCTGCTGTGTTATTTAAATGAAGGGGGCTGCTCCTCTGAGGAGCACCTCTAGAAGTTGTGCTGGCAGCACTCATGGGCACTGCAATCTGTGCAAATGCCTTGTGTCACTGGTTTTGATCACTCTTCTGTCGGGATTAAAGCTTGTTACAAAATGTCTGGGGGGAGTGTTCAGCTTTGCAGTTCTCTGTCCCCAGCCATGAGTTATTGCAGTTTAGCTTTCGGCTGGTTGTTTTGCCAGTGAGTGCTTTCATGAAGCCTGAGAAGGTTTCTCCTTTACCTCCCCAGCTTGCCCATACATTCTCACCTGAATTTCCCTTGTGGTAAATGCTTCCCGTATAGGTATGTGCTCTCTCCTCACCATAGAGTTGGAAGGGTGGACAAGAGGGATTAAGTACGTTCTCTTTCCTCACAAAATGGACTATACTAATTACTTCTGCGAGAGTGTATGTTGTGTAATTACATTCCCCAGCAGTCAGATCAAAGGCATCTATAGCAGAAAACAAGTCTCTGATACATGGGGGCCGGGGAATGTTCCCGTGTCACTTAATTGGGCCAGAAATCTTCATGGCTGTTAGTCCAGACCTTGGGCAAGTTCTCCTATTTTGGGTCTCTTGAGGCAGAACAGTCTCCTGCTAGTACGGAGCTGCTGCACAGGAAGGTTATACAAAACAGTCACAATACAGAGTTACTTCATCAGGGCTGCTTTTGGGATCTGCGAAATGTGGTGCATCTTCTGTGCACCATGTAGTTCTCTCCACTGCATTTTTCCTTGCTACTGACATGTTCTCATCCCTCCTCAGAGCCTTCATTTAAGGTATGTCAAGTTTTTTGGAACTCGCAGGCACTTAATGCTCAAAATTCTGCTGCTCTTCAGCTGATCTCACTGGTGCTGAGCAGGCAGTGCATCCCATGGAGCTAATGCTTTCTTTTTCTCTTGCAGACTCTTCTGATGCTGACAGATTGGAAAGGTTTTTTGACTCGGAAGATGAAGACTTCGAAATTCTATCCCTTTGAAAACAAATAGGAAACTGACTCTGCAAATTTGTGTTATGTGTGGGGAGAAGGGGGGGAGGGAAGCTCCTTCGAGCCTGGGGCTACCAGTTTTCATAGGTGCTTGCTGCCATCCCCACCTCTTGTTCACCCTGGCATTCTGTGCAGCCTCTGAGTGGAGCGCGGATGAAGAATCAAGTGAGTGACACAGCCTTACTGTCTGGAGTCAGAATTTCTCAGTAGAAAACAGTTGCTGGAAGTGGATGCAGTGGTGCTTAGGAGTTCAAAGACTTATCTGTTACAACAGCAAGTCAGATGGCCTCTGGGGGAGGCATAGAAATCATTAATCCTTACATGGGGACTCTCCTCTGAAGCTTAAATAGAGCCACCCATCATTTAGCAGGTGAAATGTAGAGTTAATTCCTTTAGCAGCTTCTCTTCTCACTGGCCAACTTGGACTGCAGCTCGCAACGCAAGTGAACAGACAACACAGCTGTGAAGCCCCTGGAGTTCAGGTGGCCAGGCTTCCTACAGTGCAACTCCTGTCTGTGCTTTGCAGTACACAGCACTTCCTCCTAGAGTTAGTACCCCTCCTCACATGCTATGAAAAGGAAGTCGAGGGAATTTACAAGTGACTGGTAATTCAATAAGCAAAAGGCTGTCTGGGAAAGTGTGGAGCAGACCCATGCTGCTGGGGAGAAACATCTCAATCTCAGTTTAAGTAACAATAGAAAGAATGGAAGGAGAATAAAAAATGTGTGTGTTCTTGCTCCGTGAGTCAATAAAACATTGTGCTTCTACAGTGGATTAATCTCTACAGCAAGTATCTTCAGGAAAGCTGCTTCAAGCAGAGAACTGGATTCCATAGTCCTGGAAAAACAAAACAGTCCACAGCTGGGAGAGGCAAAACAGGACAACTGAGGTCTGCCAGTCATGTGCCTGCTTGTGCCAGCACCCCAAGGGAATTAATCCTGTCGGTACCAAAAGTGTGAGCTATAGAATTCCTCAAGGTGTCCTCGGTGGGTTGCAGTTCCTCCAACTACTCCTGTTAGACATTCCCTTTCCAAATCAGAAGAGGGGCCTGAAGGTCAAGTAGGCTTCCTAGCTGTGTCGGTACCTTTCTTTTTGTCTTCTGCCAGCTCCACCTCCCTGCAGAGCATGCACAAAGGTACTGTAGGAGCTAACCCAGAGAAAACCATTTCAAGTAATCATCCCAAAGAGGGCAGTAAAGACAGAATGCCTTGAGAATGTCCAATTATACTGGAAATTTTAGCTGTTTTAAGATGATAGCTCTGCCTGGGGCCCTTTTCCTCACAGAATTTGGAGAAAGGTTAGAGTGGAGGAGAGCTGTCTTAATGCAGACTGCAACAGAAGTTGCTGAAGTAGTTTCCTTAATGCATGCTGCAGATTGCAAACCTGTTTACAAGGCTTTGTTTTCTACATCTAGGATGGAACCTGTCAGTTGATGCTTTTGTACCCAAGGCTGGTGGCAGCTGGCTAGAAATGACCTGTTTCTCCTGTGACTGATACACTGATGCTCTCTAACTGTCCCTGTGTTATCCGAATGCAGAGGTTTGAACTGGGAACCACATTGCTTCTGTCACTAAATTATTATTTGCTGCTTTCTGCCTGCTTCTCTCCTCCCTTGTAGTTAGGGGAAGAGGCAGCAGAGGAAATGGGGCTGTGCTCCATTCATCTGCTTTCAATTTGTATCTGAATAAACAGATCTAAACTCTTTGCCTGTCCTAATGTTCTAGCAGATGACTTGGAAGGTGGTGGCGGGTGGTATCTAGTAACCCTGCAGTGTGGCTGGGAATGCTGTCAAAATGATTTGGTTTTACCCTGTTAGGGCAGTGGAAGGGGAACTATATGCAGTGGTGACATTATCTATTGGGACTGTCAAGTTCATATTCCTACTCCAGAGGGTGAGCACCTGCAGACATGCTAGCAGAAAAGGAAAAAAAAATTCTGTATCTCAGTGCACCTTTGAAATGATTTAACATTCCAGTTTACTGTAGTTTGCTTGTCATTACTGATGACTTAGATGAATTCACAGCTGCTCTGGTGTGGCAGCCTGTGCCAGGCTGTTTAAATTGCACTGTGCAGGAGTCACAAGTGACCATTCCTCTGATCTTGGCCACAGGAGTAACTTGACCAGTCTAGAATAATTTAAAGGCCACTCACCCTTCCAACTGGCCTTGTTATGAGCTAATACATCAATTTCAGACTCCTAGCTGCTCATAGCAGTTCAGTTTCTGTGGTGTTCTCACTGAAAAGCTGGGGAGCAGACCCAAATTCTTCATTCCATAGCTCCAGTAAACTACTCCCCCTGTGCCTTAAATGCAGCACCTCCACATCCTGTGTATCCTTCTGGAAGATAAATTATCATTCTCAGGGGGAAAAAATGCCCTGTGCCAAGATGTTTTAAAGAATCATTTATTAGTAAGTCAAGTCCTCTACAAACTGGTTTTAGCACTGGGGATGCATTTACTAAAGAGGCAGAAGAATCTGAAACATGGTAGTACCCCAGAGCTGGGATGGCTGTTGCCTGCTTATTGCTGCTGTCTGTCCAGGGGCAGCCCTGAGCTCCATACCCACATCTGCATGGCGTGACTGGAGCTAGAACAAGACCTCCTGCTTGAGGTACGGGGAGGGGTTTACAAGGAATTTTGTATGTACTCATTGCATGTTCGTATATATAATACAGAAGGGACTATGCAGGATGAAGGGAAGAAGCAGACAGAATCACAAGGACATCAGCACCTTGCTGGACTCAGAATACTTGAGATCTAAGCTGTAGTTACTGGAAGGTGTGATGTATGGGAGTGAACCAAGTGAGGAGGATCTAAGAGTTTTTCCTGGGTCTAAAAGAATAACCTGTATAAAATTTTATTTCCAAAGTTCTTCTAAAGGTTTATTCTGAACCTCCTGCATAGTTTCCTCTGCAATGGACTTGATTTCTCTGTGCAAGTCTTCTATGCTCTTTGAGGCATCCATGACCTGTTTCCAAGACAACAAAATACAGAAACATGTTCTTCAATGAACCATACCAAGTAAGAAAAGCTCACCTTGCTGCTATCTGCTCCCTCCATTACTCAGTGCTGATACTATTCAGCAATGAAATTATACATCCTGTTTTATATGGTTTCTGGAGTGGAATTGGAAAGATCTATTTTATTTGAGAATAAGCCTCTAAGAAGTAGATGTGGGGCTGGATGAAGGGAAACAGAAGAAACTGCTGCTGCTGCATGTTGTTTGCTGACAGTCTTTGAGGCCTGGGACATAAAAGTAGGTAAATGTTCTTCATCCTGTACTGTAGTCCCTGAGAAACATCCACCCATGATAGTAAGAACCTCTAAAAATCCATCACGTGATGTCCCACTTTCGGATTTGCTGTTTTTCAACTACTGCAAGCTAAGGGCAGTAAAGGTGGTAGAGCTGAGAAAGCTGTCAGCCTGAGAACATGATGCTGGTGTTCTCAGGCTGACATTTGAAGACCAGCAGCATCACTCCCATGCAGTTGAGGGAGTGACTGAGAAGAAAGGATTTGGTGAAGAGATGTAGAGATGTGCAGATTTATCACAGTGACCTCTGCAATGCTGGCCCACACAACACTGCTGAGGAAGAGCAGCCGTGAGGATACACAATAAACAGACTTTGTGATTAAATGGTAGCACAGCCAGCATCCCACCTTTCTGCTCACACAATATCCTCCAGTTATTTGTGTAACCAAGCTATGCTTCATGCTGTTTCAAAGGGTTCTTTGGCAGTGTCTGTCTGTTATTCTGATACTGAGGCGCAAAAAGACAGGAATGCTAACTATACCTTTAATGTATACTGAAACTGGATTTCCACACTTATTTTAGGGACACCTCTTCATCATCTATTCTGATATTTATCTGTTTGACAGTGGTGCGCTTTGGGATATTGTAAACAGATGTGTTGCTTGAAGTGAAAATTCAAGTGACAGTCAGTTTCCCTTTAAGAGAGCA